AAAAAAAAAATTGAAGTTAATAATATGGATATAAATAAATGATAAATACTGAATTAAAAGAACAGATGAATAAAATGTTAATAAAATAATCACCCCATAAGAAGAGCGGGTTTTCTTTTGCTCTGGGAAGAGGCCAACGCACACAGGGGGCGTTGTGGAAGTTCTGCCTGCGGTGGGTCCAGACCTTCGGGAACAGAGTCTTTGCCGTTTGGTCGAGTTCTGAAGAGAACAACAGGAGAAGATTCTAAACCAGCAGGATTAAATCATTAGAACTTGACATTTCCTCCTCTTGCTCCATCAGTGTGGACAGGAATGTCTCATCCCCACAGAGGGTTGTCTGTCCACAGCTGTGGGCCGGTGGGACGCTGACCTCTGTGGAAGCTGGTGTGGGTGATGAGGCGGCGGCACAGCGGGCACGGCGTGTCGGCGGCCCGGTTCTTGGCCAGCCTGCGGAGACACGGCTCGCAGAAGACGTGAGCGCAGGGCAGACAGCTGTGGGGGCTGAAGAAGACGTCCAGACAGACGGGGCAGGTCAGGCTGTCTCTGTCCACGTCCCCAGAGTCTGAAGGACAGTCGCTGCTGCTTTCAGCCTGGGACAGAACAAGGTTTAGAAGTTATTAACCAGGGAAACTCAGTTATTCATCTCTTCATTCATCATTTCAATGCTTTCTTATTTGTTTCCTTCCCTCCCTCTCTACCTTTCCTAGGTTCTTTTCCTTCATCCTCTCACTCCGTGCCTTATTGCTTCTAAACAAAATGTTATTTATTTCCTTCTATACTCTTATTCCCTTCATTTCACAGCTTCCTTCCCTTTTTTCCTCCATCATCCTAATTCATTATCTTCTTCACTTTCTTTTCCTTACTCTCTCTTCTCCAATTGTTACTTTTGTACCTCCCTCACTTTCCCTTTCTTACCAATTTCCTTAGTCCCTTCCTTCCCTCTTAATCCTTTTTCATCATTTCTTCCTATATTACTTCCTTCCAAATTATTTTCTTCCCCAATTATCTACTTTCATTTTCCCCAATTTTTTTTTCAGTCATTTCCTTTCATCCTTTCTTCTCCCCTCCCTCCATTTTCCCCCCTTTTCCTCCTTCCTCACCAAATGTCTCCCTTTATTTTTTTCTCTACCTTTTTCTGCACTTCCTTCCTATGCTATTTCCTTCCTTTAGTCCCTTTTCTCTTATTCCAGTTAATATTAAAGATAATAATTGAACTTTATTAATCTCACATTAAAGAAATTACCTCTGCATTTAACCCATCCCTTTGAGGAGCAGTGGGCTGCCATCGTGGGGCGCCCGGGGAGCAATCAGGGGGTTAAGTGGCAGTCTGTGGGAGTGGGTTTCGAACTCAGAACCTCAGGATTCCAAGTTCCCTAACCACCAAGCCGCCAATCCTCCAGTTTCTTCCTTTTGAAACTTCTTGCTTCCTTCCATCCCCCTTCTTACCCGTTTTCTCCCTTATTCTCTTTTTTCTTCTTCCCTTTTTCTATTAGGAGATGTTTTCCAGAATACAACAAACAAGCCAAAGGCCTGATTTTAGCATTTTTTAATCAGTGAAGCAAAGATGGCCATTTACTTGTCCCGCGGAGACAGACTGTAGGAGGGATAAAACCAGAATATGGCTGGAGTTTCACTTCCACAGAACCACACAGAACATGGAGGATTTTATGCAGTTATGGGGTTTCAACTAAATGTTATGTACTGTTAGATGAAGGACAGCTACAATATGACAAGCTCCTCATTTAATGTTTTTTAACTGACACTTGTTACATACCAATAATTGATTGTATGGTTTGAATTATGGAAATATTTCAAATAATAATATGGACTAGACTTTATTACCTTTGAAACATTAAAAAAATATGGATATTTTGACAGCAAAAAAATTAATGTCAATGTAAAAACTAGCAACGCAGACATGTTCGAATATATTAAGAAAAATAACAAAAGTGCTTCTATAAGAAATTTATGAAAAACACACTGAGAGTAAAAGAAACACTTTTTTTTGGTGCAACATAACCTTAGAGGCATTATTGCTCTGATACTGGCACTTTTTCAGTTTATAAACGTAAATATAATTAACTATTTTTATCTCTTTAACTTTTCAATTAGCTTTTTATCCTTTTTTTCTTGACGTTAACTTTTTTTCCAACTTAATTAACAGTAGGGGTGTAAATCACATCCATCATGGCGATTCGATTAAGTATCTTCTTTTTCTTTTTGGCCGTCACGTCCTTCCGTCGTCGGACTAAACTCGCCCCCACTTCCTCGCCGCCTCGTTTGTATCTAGACCCACAGCGTGTAGCACAGACCACACTTCAATATTGA